ATGGCTGCCAAGATTTCAATGAGAGCAAAAGTCACATGCCCCCCCCCCAAATAGTGATTTATTTTCTATCATTCTCATGCTTTTAAACAAGATATCTTGGGCCATTGGCTGGGAAAAGCATTGTTTTTTTTCTCACGGAAAAATCTCAAAGAATGGAGTCTTGTTTGCATAATATATAATTTGCATACATTGTTACAATAAAAATAATTAACATATTAATAGATTGTTACTGAGAAGTTATAATTTTCATCCGGTTGATACAAAAAACAGTGTCCTGTAAAAGAAAGTTCATTCATACAGAATGAAGACAACTGAGTCTGATGAATTTCCCAATTTCAATAGTGAGAATGAAATTTAGGTAGATTTCACAGGTTCTTAATGAAAAACATATTAGTTCAGTGGCTACATTTCAAATAATGCTGTATTCATCAACAACTGCAAGAGTTAGATTGAGCTGATTGGACTGACAAGTAAAGGTTAGCGTGTACTGTCACAGCACTCAATCGACCTAAATGGACAAGCATTCATTCTTGTAGAGTTTTAACTTCTAAAATCACTCTGGAGGAGTTGTATAAATGTACATCCGGTGGAAACTAATGTAAATTTTTCACGTCATTTCAAGAAATCTAAACTGACATGGAATAAATTGGGTACTTCATCATAAAATGAAGACAGTTTTATTATAAACAGTGCCACTTTTTTAAATAACATCAACTCGAGAAAGCTACAAAACCTGGCTCACCGGACTAATGTACGTATGTGTAGAAATAATTTACACTAGGAAATAACAATGCAGTAGCTGGTACACAGTAAATATGCATTGCCTCTAGTGATTGGTCGAGATTAAATAAATCACATTCCCTCATCCAATCACAAAAGGTTTTATTTACAGTGGGATTTAAACTCAATCACAACGCTGAATCATGAGAACTATCTACACAGAAAATATTGTGGGCATGACAGGAAGGATCAGACACATAAGCATACATCAAACACTGCAGTCATTATGGTATACAAGTCTTTACCTAATAGTCACTTTGGATGTACCAAGGGATTTGGTAAATTCTTTCCACTACAACTAGTATAATATTGCAGTACTTGAACAAACCACGACACATGACCTTTAACCCATCACCACAGTTCTCAGTCGCAATGTTTATTAACTTTGAGCATACATTTTTTTCACGCTCAAATTTTGGTGAATTTATTCTCGTTTTCTGTAATTTTCACTGAATTCAATCTTAATTTTGAAGCAAACAGACAAAATGTGACAAAATTACTTCTAGAAATGTTCAAAAAAGGTTATTTTGTAACAGTGAATATTTTACACAAATCCTGGCCGGTAGTCATTTACTTCCATAAAATTATCTCTTCACTAGCACCATTAAATTATAAAATTGAAACATCGCCAGTAATGAAAATTCAGTGGTTTTCAAACATGACATAACATGAATCATCAAATTATTAACATTGACTTTCCAATAGCAGATGCAGAAGTAGAACAATTAATAACAGGACAGAAGTCACACAGCCATGTACGAAAACATTACTCAAATAATTACCTAGTAGTACAAATATAAGAATCTACTTTCTTGATTCTATACGAACTGTACCTGATCAATATCTATACTATACTTGATAAAATAAAATGATAGCGTCCATTCTCAGAATCTTGCATATCTCAGGTGCATTACAATTGGGCTGATAAGCAAAACACTGCTACTTAGAAGTGATTAATGCATGTGATGTTTCTTATTGAAGTGGGGGAGTCGTCACCAGCGCATGCGTCAGATGGCCATAGCACGTCATTGTTTACAAACAAGCATCTACCCATGAGCCTTTGCATTTTTAGCGTGTGTGCGCAGGCGACAACCTTCCCGCTTTAAATGGTAGAATCTTAAAAGAATGTTTTTGTAATGACCTAATCAAAATAATCCTAGAATAACACATGTTTTACTGAATTTTCTCTAATTAGACTAGGTAAATTACAAAGATGTTTCAATGATCAAAATAATAATTTAATGAATTTAATACAACAAATGCGATTTTGGGTTTATATGCGCTTTTATTGAACATGCACTTCTAATACCGCAATGTTCTATTGCACCCTGTCTTACCTGGGAGGTGGCCAGCTAGCATTGAGGAGACAGGAAATCTGGGAGGGCTAACATGCAAGAAGCCAGAGTCAGTTATAGAAATTTGCTTGTGCAAAGATGGATCTAGCTAGTTTTGTAATGATTCAATGACAAAACACAAGTATGACATACTCAAACTACTAGGTGGTTTTCTTGTAATACTTACTTGTGTGATAACCTTGGCGTTTCTCCACAGTCTTCAGCTTGTACATCAAATGTGTAATCTCTCTGCTTTTCACAGTCAGCTGGCTCTGTTGCTCGTAAAAATCCTTCTCCTGTGTTTTTATCTACTTCAATTGTAAAGGGTATTCCGTCATCTTTGATCACATAATTACAAATCTGACCAGCCGCGCCATCGTCAGAATCAAATGCAACCAACGAAGGATGGAGCTGTACTAAACGTTCATTTTCATTTAGCTCCCCGTGGTAAAATTCCTCATCAAACCAGGGTTTGTGTTTATTTTGTTCTGAAATAAATAAATAAAACAATTTATAAGAACAAAAACATTGCATCAAAGTATCACATGCAATACCATTAATATTATGATGAAGTATTTATTTACACAGTGGGGTTCACCAAAGCTATGCATGACCACAATGTATACAAATATTTTTCTTTTGCAACCACTAATTTGTCAAATGAATTATATATATAATACTGACTCCTGCATGGTAATTTTTTTCCAATGATTAATTATTATGGAGACCAACAGACACAGAGCCCAATTACACATCGAGAAAGAGGGCAAGTTCCAGACATCCTGCAGTACTGCACCACTTATTGCAACTAGAATGCTGTGATTTTTTTTACATGCAATGCAAGACAGGAAAAACACTGTTCTGACAAGTTTTACATTTTCTTTGACTGTATGCCATAATCTCAACATTGAATGCCACGAGTCTGACAAGTAGAAGTTGAATCCACAATCCCCCTGATGTTAGTTGGATACTCAAACCTTCAAGCCACACATTGGGCACATTACACATTTGCTCAAAATAAAAAATGAAAGTTAGAAGACTGGTGTTAAGCATAATCTTCTAATCTGACTATGGTACATAGTAAAGCTATGTTAAGACCAAACAAATCTTCAAGTCTTATCTCCATCCCCAGGCTTACCATTGTAATTACAAGACTTTAACTGAACAACTTTCCATTTCCCAAACCAGAGATGTTTGGATAGATTCTTCTACATTACCAAACCATTTAAACCTTTACCTCAATACAAGAACTCATGATGAAATGTTCAATCGGCATTGATTTGATTTCAATGTTTACTATTTCTATACATGGTGACAGCTTCACCCCCAAGATAATTTGAAAAGAAATCTATTGAATCAGTTTCACAAATAAAGGTACTGAAATGCAATCAAAGAAGTGGACGTACTATTTTACATTGTTAGCATCCATTTGTATTTAATACATGCACATACATAAACAGAAGAGAGACAAAACATCACCAAAAGGGAATTGCAAAGGGGGGAAAACAGAAATTATACAGAAAGAAAGTGTTTTTCAATTATCTTAATTCAAAAGAACACATCAACTCTACACGCATTGTATATGCAAATATTCCTACTTCAAGTATGAATGTGGAATGAACAACTGCTTTTCCCAAAAAACACTCTTAGGCAGTCTAACTGACTAGCATGAAAGACGTTTAATAACAGATTAGAAAGAGCCAGTTCAACGATGTCAATGAGAAGCCAGTTTATGATCAACGCTACTGGTTTAATTTAGAGATGACATACCCAGTTCTCAACTCAATACTCAATTATTTGACACTTGTTTCCTGAACTTTACTGGAAAAAACAGGGAATCTACCTCCTAGAGTTTTTGTTTATCACTCACACCAACCCCTTCAAACTTGGTTTAATCACAGTCCGAGGGACTGTGGTTTAATTTAATCAGATTAGTTTTTGTATAATCACTGGATGAAGAAAATAAATGTACAGTTCACTGGGTTTAGATCAGCATCTCGCAACAATGTGATCAAGGTAAGCAATTGTAATACAGATGTACATGGTTACTAGTCTAAGACTACAAGGTTAAACTGAGTCACTCAAAAGATCTTAATGATTGCTTCCGGTACACAACACTATTCCTACCAAGAGAGAACGATTATAGGTGGAACTGAAATCAACATAAACATAAAGCACTTAGTTGACTAATTACAAATTTAGTAATACTGTTATATCACTATGGCATATTTATGTTTTTGAATAAAGCACTTTCGTCTATAATAGTAGCCCATCTATTATACAGCTGAAACAAGTCTAAAGCTGTGATTTTTAGCATTTTTCATTCAAATATAACCACATAAAGATGGCCAAATTCCCACTGAAATATTGTTTCAGACAACTGCATATGATACTAATGACACAGCAAATGTTTTGTTTTTTTTAAAAAAAATGATAGTTACAAGAGTTGTCACTTTAACCAAAGACGCATCATTTATGTAAAGCACATACACTTACAAATACAGCATTACACAAGTCTTTTTGTCCTAAAATCAACTGTTTTCCAACTAGACATAGGCGCTATATAAAGAAATAAGCATTGACAATTGTATTATGCAGCATTCAGCAGATTTCCCCCAGCATAACATAGTCTCAGAGAGGGGAACCATTGATGCTCACCAGCATCCGTTTTTTTTGTCACTACTAAATTTCATTTCTCTTTAAAAGCACACAGCTTATAAAGATAAATAATTAAACTGAGCTTACATGTACAGAAGCTTATTAAATAAATTGTAAAAACAAAAAAATAAGTTCTCATCTAGTTTTTAGTGACTTTATATTATGCTAAATATTTATTTACATGAATCTTCATAGTTGCGAGCTATCAGAGTATCAGTGTAAATCAGAGACTAGCAACCACTTTTGGAAAATCATCTTGGTTGAGAAGCAGAAACAAATTCAAGTACAATACCAAAAACATTAACAATCAAAATAAATGGGGGTTAGCCATAGTCATTACTGTTGTCAAGGAGACAGATTAATCAGAACTGACTCATCAATCAGTCATCGTTGGCATGGAAACTGATGCAAAGTAGAAAAACACCACAACATAAGGTCATGTACTGAAAAAACAGTCATATTGGGAATGTTTTGCATGGAAGAAGAAATATGGAATGCTAGCTAGCAGCAAATCGATGTTCACTTTCAGTAAAAAAAAATTAATTGACTACAAATAAACGTTTCTCTTCGAGCGATCACTCGCATGGTACACCATAATTACACATCGGTTGTATGCAGATGAGAATTGACAAAATGTAATAACATGAATAGGAAAAAATTATTGATTCAAAATTTATTCTATCTCAGTTACACATAGAATAGCAATGACGAAATGTCATCTACCTCCAGACTGCAATGCAATACTTGAATTCCATTAGTAAGTGTAGCATAAAGAGGAAGTGCGCTCTATAGACGATGTCTACATTAGGATTATTTGAATTTAGACAATGCTTTTTAGAACATAACTAGATAGTATATGGTTTCAAAAATGCTAGTCTGATTACAAAAGTAGAAACTACAAGTCTTGTACAAGTGCCTCCAGTGATAGCGAATACAAATTTACAAAGTCTTGAATTTTCAACATGTACACGTCTTATGCAGAGACAGATTAAACAAATACGGTGTGGTAATTAGTAAGAGAATGCAAAATCTAAAATAACCAAAACATTTGACAATGTTATAGGCATAAAATAAAATGAACCAGGTGTAGTTTGAGTTAAAGATTTCCTGTCTAACACTATCTTCTTCCCAACAACCAATTATTCGTGAAAATCAATTTCAGTAAATTCATTTCCTCAATTGTGATTACAGTACTGTGCAACATACGAAGTCTGATACACTCGCTATGATTGTATTTCTCGCAATATTTCTTATTGCAATTTTTTTTCTCACAAATTTTACAACATGGCGAGAATCCATTTCTCACACAAGCTAGAAATAACTGCAGCCCCAAACTGGTAGTACTGTACATCCAATGAAGTTTAACTTTGATTTCTGAATGGCTGAAATCCCTAAATATGATACAGAATTCTGCATGTGGAGAATGAAACTGATATTCAAGCAGTGCTTTTTAACTATAATGCAACTTTGGTAATTTAAATATGAAAACAGAACTGAATGCAGATTTTGTGATAAGTCTAGTGGTGGAAGTGTTCTAATGGTTGAAACCTGAGACGATTGGCAGGACAGAACTGTAGAAATGACCCCATGATTGACCTTTAGGTTAAACAGTATTGTTTAATAATACACCTATTTTCTTCATGGCCTACTACTGCACGAACTGCAAATAATAATTGTGAACAGAATATTACAGAATTGCCAGAAAAAGCTTCTCAAATCCATTCTATTTCAGTCTGCAAGCCAACAGCTGCTACCAACTTGGGCCACCTAACCCCTCCATTAACAACTCAAAACGTCCAAAGATATCTCTCAACCAGATGCGGTAATTCAGCAAAGACCAGCTTTTCATGGTTTGAGCGCCGGTTTGGTTTACACGATTAAATTTCCAGTCTGTCCATTGTTCACTGCCTCAGTCTACTGACCACAATAGTATCGTTGGTTGGCATTTAGAAATGTTCTTAGGATTGCATTTTTTCCTAAAGTGGGATATATTGGATTGCTTCTATAGAAAAGGACAACTCAAAACCACTGCCTCTTTACAGTAGACAAATTCAATGCAAACGAAGCGGTGTAAGGTTTCCATGCCAACCAGAGAAGAACGAGATGTTCCAAGTGTTTCAAGAGGCAACTTCTTGTGGGAAGTTGGTAATGAAAAATTCCTTTGAGGCAACTATACATGTACATCATGACACTTAGTAATATAAATAGACTTGCTAGTTTTAGCAGGGCATGGTTTTTGTCCTTGTACGTCACATATTTTGATGTACATTCATATAAAGGCAGTCGAGCACTAACAGAACACAATTGAGAGATGTTCTAAATGCGAAAATAAATTTTCTTTTTTAAAATTTTATAAATTGTCAATTGTATTTCTTAGATTTTTGAGAATTTGTAATACAAGAAAATTTGAACTATGAGAACACTGTACAGCCACAAAATCATGAAAAAGTTGCTGGTTTGGCTAATCACACAAGATGGTGTCCATGTACATCATGAGCAAGTCTACAAGTTGCAGATGTAATCATAATATCACGCTCACCAGAAACCTAGTCTATTCACCATTTTGTTGAACTATTACAAATTCCCAGCAAGTCATCGGATTATAATTAAATTGGCTCATAGGACATAATGGCTGCATCAAACTAATATCAAGTTTCACAAATAAACTGTTGCAAAGGAAAGAATTCCGGTGGCCGAGGAAAAAAGACAACTGCCAGTTTACTGATTAGCTGTTTTTATTAACACATTGGATACCACCTCCATACATTATATGCAATACAGTGCAAAGGTTGCTAATGTTAATACGTATTAGAGGCCACATTATTTTTAT